AAGAGAATTTTGGGAATGATGAGGGCAACAAATGTATAGATGTGCTTTACACAATTGATCTATGTATTGTGATAAATTGTATGAGCCCCAATAAATTGATTAATTTAAAAAAAAATTCATAAAACAAAATTTTTTATTTCAGATAAAATTAACATTTCCATAATTTAAGATTTAGCAAAAGCCATTTCTTTCTCTTGACTGCATGAATTCAATTGACTGTACCACCTGTAAATATTCAGAGTTCCCGAATGTCATTTAAATATTTGCCTACATGCTTGTAGGTAGCTTATGTAGCCTTTTCTGGGTAGGAATTCCAGTTTTTTGGAATTCTTCCCTTTTTTTCAGGTATTCCATATTGCATTCCTCATAAAAGCCTGGATTGGTATTGTAAGCAGTTACACAACCATTCAGTGTAGAATTTTCTTTCCAGCATTTTACTACCACAAGGATCCCAGAATCCTTACAACATTGGGTAAAATCTTGAACTTGTTCAGAACTTCTCGCTGACCTCCTCTCTCATTATTTTCGGGATCAAAACATCTTATTTGATGTGTCTGACTTGATCTTCTGCAGGGGGGAGTGCCATCTGTGTGTGCAGGTGAGGCAGTAACCCTGAGGGGGATCAGGGGCTGTTTGCCATTAAAAGGAGAATTGTTCCTCATCTTACATATCCTTCTTTGTAAGGCTTTACTCCCAGAAAGAACTTAATCCTTTGTCACCTCTGGCCTTATATATTATTCTATTATTGTATATGCCACATTGCATTGTATTTGTTGACATTCTTTTCTCCTTTACTAGACAGTGATTTCTTCAGAGCTGACAAGCACTGTGTTTCAGTCAATTCTTTCTTTTTATTGCCTGGCAATGAAACAGAATTTCAACACATTGTATTTTTTATAATGGAAGACTTTTCATGTACTGAGATGAACAATTTTTCTTTTAGAGACTGTCATATTAGAACTTAATTACTGTGTAAACTTTCACCAAAATCACAAAATATTAAGTAAAAGTACTATACTGAGACACAACATAAATATTGGATATAACTAATGCTACTTTTACTTCTACTTCGGTTTCTCTGTGCTTAACATCTCTCCCTATTGCCACCCAATTCCCTGACTACTTTGGGTATTGTCTTATTAGGAACAAACTGCCTACTAAAACTACCACCAATTATAGGCTGCCACACGATCCTTACCTGCCTATTGGGCTTCCTACTTCAGCCCTTTTGTTACTGGCCTGAGCTAAAGCCAATTTCCTACTTAAAGACTTCATCGTTATGACACAACCTTTCTTACTTCTAATTGCCTGAAACCTTCAGGGTCAACTGCCATGCTCTGAAAGGTATAATAGTTAGGGTTTGTATCAAATTCAGATGATCAGTGTTTTGGAAATGGAGGTCTCCTCATGCTGTGATATAACATAATAAAATCACCATGAAGGGATGGTCTGTGAACAGCCAGGAAGTTATGGGAAGATTAGGGTAGGGTGCTACCCTCAATCAGATCTCAATGCTGATACAATTAAAAGGAATTTTCCTCAGAGGTATGGTCTACTCCTATTTAAGCTGGCTCCGTGGGCAGGTTTTTCCCTTCTTATTGGTTCAGATCCTGCATCGACCCATCATATTGTCTATGAGCAGTATGCCATATTGTCTGCCATCCTTGGATTCATTCACCTCTGCCTGAATATACCTATGTTCCTCCTGCTTCCTACTTCATCTTTCTGCTTTCAAATTTGTCAACCCCAGCAGCTACTCGAGTCAGGATAAGCCATGAGATTGATGTGCTGACCTTGATTTCATCCACTTCTGCCACCACCAGTATGTGGTCTTCCTGCTTCTTGGTTTATCAGATGCAGCAGCTACATGAGTCAGGAAAACCCTCCAGCTTAACATCTGATCATACACTTGAACCAGACAAAACTTAAGTGCCTCTACAACTATGTGAGTTACTTTCTTGACATAAAATGTTATACACACACACACACACACACACACACCTTTACTGGTTTTGCCTCTCTAGAGAACCCAGCCTAATAGAGAAGATAGGTAAAAAGCATTGCTACGAGGGTACCAGTTAATACAAGCACAGGTTTATTCCAAACAAAATGCATTTAAACATGTTTCTCTGTTCAGTGGATGGTTGCACCAAACTTATGGGAATGCTGTCCCACACAAAACAATAGTTTTTAGATGAATCAAACATTTTAAGGAAGATCGGGAAGACTTCAAAGATGAACCAGGATCATCAAAATAAACAGTTAAGAAACTGTTGCTAAAATCCAGAAATTGGTAGAAGATCAAAGAGTCCCTATAGATGCGATAGCTACTAAAGTTCAAATCTCTCATGGTCTGGCATTGTCAACTTTAAGCAAACATTTTGGTCTCAGAAAGCTTTTGACAGAATGAGTGCTTAAAGTGTTGCAGGAAGACAAGCTACCTCAAAGAGTTTTCATCAATTTTGTAAACAAGCGTGATGCTAATGAAGGTAGTTTAATAGCCAGGGAGGAGCCTTACATTTACTAATACTTTCCAGATCCTAACAAACTATGGATAACCTTAAGAAGAATTGGAATTCCAGAACACTTCATTGTGCTCCTGTGGAACTTGCCCATGGATCAAGAGGAAGGTGTGCAAATGGAACAAGGGAATAAACTTCTTGGATTAAAATTAGGAAAGGTGTGTATCAGCATTATATCCTCTCACCATACTCATTCAATCTGTATGATGAGCAAATAATCATAGAAGCTGGATTATATAAAGAAGGCTTACTAACAAACTTATATATGGAGATGACACAACCTTGCTTCCTGAAAATTAGAAGGGCTTCAAGCACTTGCTGATGAAGAGCAAGGCTGAAAACTGCAGCCTTCAGTGTGGATCACGACTCAATGTAAACAAGACCAAACTCCTCACAACTAGACCAACAGGTAACATCATGATAAGGTTGAAGTTCTCAAGGGTTTTTGTCTTGCTTGGGTCCACCATAAATGCTCATGGAAGCAGCAGTCGAGAGATCAAAGGACAAGTTGCATTAGGTAAATCTGCCACACAAGACCTCTTTAGAGTATTGAAAACCAATCTGTCTTGGAAGATGTACTGCCAGAGTGCTCCTTCGAGGCAAGGATGGCAAGACTTCATCTTACATACTTTGGAGGTGTTATCAGGAGAGAACAGTCCCTGGAGAAGGACATCATGTTTGGTAGAGGGGCAGCGAAAAACGTGAAGGCCATCAAGGAGATGAATTGACACTGTGACTACAACAATGGGTGTGTTAGTCTGGGTACTTCAGAGAAACAAATCCACAGAAACTCACAAGTACAAGAGAGAGTTTTATATAAAGGGTAAGTGCACATCAAGAAAATATCCCAACCCACTAGTGCTCAAGCCCACAAGTCCAACACCAATCCACAAAGTCCTTCTCCATCTCACAAAACACACAGTGATGCCGGCTGCAGGAGGTAAGCTTAATCAGTGAACGTGTATGTAAGTAACAGCGTTGGCAGCGGTCTCCACATGGCTGCTCCAGCACCCAGGCTGTCTTGCAGGAAGTGGGCCTTGCCGGCTGGAGCAGGGAACTGGCTAAGGCAGCTGCACCCTGGTCCTACCATCACAAAGCAAGAGACTCGAGAACTAGAAAGGCGAGGCTCACTGGGCCATTTAGCTCTCTGGATTTCAATTAACCCTACATGTGTTTATCAGCCAGGTTGGCACAACAAACTTTAACTGTATCAATCCACCCCTTGCCAACTTGGCATCAGTACATAATTCTTTAGCCTCACAATTGCAATTAAGTAACACCTACACCTTAATACTGTGAATAAGTTCCCCCACCTATGAAAGTTTGTAAGCCAACCCCTTCATGCCTTTATCCCCCCAATTTGGGTATCCAATTTACATACTGCCCACTTACATAAACCCAGTGCTCTGAGGAGGCAATCATATTTTCTGACATGAAGAATCTTCATTCCAGTTGGAACCTTGTGAAATCTGCTTCCATAAGCAAAGTCAAATCCGGACAGGCCATCCATAAAGTCAGCAACAATATGCACCAGTTCACAGGCTCAAAAATCTCCATGCTGGTCGGGTTCTGGTCAACTCAATATGGGCTGCCTCACTCAGCCTCCACAGGGTGCCCATTGGTCACCTTGCCTTTAGACCATGGGCTCTCACCAATACTCAACAAGCCTAGCCCCTTCGTGCTAGGTCATGAACTTTAGAGCAGTCAACCTGCTCTTGTCTTCTCCTCTCTTTCCTGTAAACCAAGTCCACAGGTGTCAGTGGCCAAACTCAACCCGTCTCTTTATTGCTGCATTTCTCCCACTCAACAAGTAGATCCAGGTGGTCACCTAGCAAGCATTTTAGCCTGCTCTCAGGCTCCCTTTAACATTCAGTCCTAGAGGGGAATTTTCTTCATGGCTCCAGATTTTTTTCCAGCTTCTGACAAAGACCATTGGTTCTGGAGTACTCCAAAGCACTTGGTGGGCCATATCTTTCTTTGCAGGCATGGCCTAAACTCATCTAAAGATCACATTTTAATGGGTGAGAGCAAGTGGGCTTACAAACTTTCTGTTCTCATACTTCCCATATTTTCCTCAGAAAACAACCGAGTAAATAGTGTGGCTTTATCTGACCTCTGGCTAGGCAAAGAAGAAAAACTACTATAAGTGAGAGGTCAAATAAACATTTACTCTCCATCTTATGATTTGTTTCTCCAGTACCTCACTCCCATGGTACCATACTGTTATTAGTACTTTAGAGAAACAAAACCACAGAATCTCATACATATAAGAGAGTTTTATATAAAAGGTAAGTGCACATCAATAAAACATCCCAACCCAGTGCTGCCCAAGCCCACAAGTCCAACATTAGCCCAGATGTTTGACACCAGTCCACAAAGTCCTCCTTCATCTCACAAGACACACACTATGAGGCCAACTGCAGGAGGAAAGCTGAATCTGTGAACGTGTATGTAAGCATCTCATCGTTAGCAGGGGTCTCCACACGACTGCTCCAGCAACCAGGGCTGCATCGGGGTAGGTCCATGTGGCTTCTCCTTGGGGATGTCTTGCAGGAAGTGAGCTCTGCCAGCGGAAGCAGGAAACTGGCTAGGGCAGCTGCACCCTGGTCCAACCATCACAAAGCATGAGACCCGAGAACTAGAAAGGCGAGGCTCACTGGACCATTTATCTCTCTGCACGTCAATTAACCCCACATGTGTTTATCGGCCAGGTTGGCACAATAAACTTTAACTATATCAGGGCTCAAGCAAAGGAATAATTGTGAGGATGGTGCAGGACTGGGCAGTGTTTCATTCTGCTGTGCATAAGGTTGCTATGGGTCAGAATAGACTATGGCACCTAACAATAACGACAACATCCAGAGAAGAAAGTCTAATCCAAACAGTAGGTTCTGAAGGGATTTATTAGACCACCTAAATTCAAGTCAGAGAGCACATTATGGTGATTGTTTTTTGGCATTCCAACGGGGTAATCTTGACAGATTTTTCTTAAAGGACACAGGACCATCACGGGGGCTTTATTACTAAGAAGCTTTTCAAAAATGAAAACTGCATTAGTGAGAAAAGGCCAGGAAGATTGCACTCAGGATTTACCCCAATCATGAGAGTGCATCTGTTTAATCTTCCATGATAGCAAAGGTTTCCCTGTGAGAATTTTGTTGGCAAACCTCTGGGATGACAGCTGGAACATTATACATGAAGAAAGCAAAAGTAGACTTGGGACTGAGTCAGCAGTTCAAAACCACTAGTTGCTCCATGGGACAAAGATGATGCTTTCAACTTCCGTAAAGGGTTCCAGTCTTAGAAACCCGTAGGGGCAGTTCTACCCAGCCCTATAAGGTCTCAGTTAGAATGGACTAGACGGCAGTGGTTTTTGGAGCATTTGTAGTATAAACTGTTATTTAAAGGCTGCTCGTTTCGGTTTAAAAAAATTAAAGTTCATTCAGGGGAAAAATAAATTACCCTAGTTACCTGGCTAAAAGATGGTTTGCAATTCTCTTTGCACAGAAATTAGAATATCAAAGTATAAAGGTAGATCTTGAACTATCGATTAAACTACAAAAATGAAGGATTGATGAAAGCCAAGATTTCCTGCTTTTATTTGGTATCACTGGCTGAACATGTATATTCAGATAGCCATTAAGACGCTAAAGAACAAATGAAAGTAATTTTGGCAACCTCCCCCCTAAAAAAAAAAAAAAGAAACTGCAGATAGATAGAGAGGTCAGGGACATATTTACAATCTTGTTGCCATGAATAAATGATAGATTAAAGATTCAAAGAGCTACTAAGAGATTCCCACCAATGGTGGAAATGAAACTTCCATCTGTAGTCTAAGAATAATATTAAAGTACTGACTTAACAGACAACTGCAAAGTCTACCTGTGAAAAGGTTTAGATTGTGCAGAGATATGTATTTTTATATGCATGTGAACCTTTAGCTTAATGGAATAATAATTCACTTTTGGCAGCTGTGTCAATCTGCTCTACGCTGCTTCATATCCCCCCTAAAACTATTGTCACATACTTGTGCTTCGTTATCACACTCGTTACAGCTGTCATAGTTCTTAGGGCAACAGTATGTATATATGTGAAAAATCAAAAGTCATAATTTTCTAAGATTAAAAAATACAACAAGGACATTAGAGAATTGTATTAGGAAGTCAACAAGTATTGCTACTGGGGGTTCCATCTGGGTAATGTATGAGTTTGCTCTGAACATGACATGTTTAAACATACCTCTGTGACCAGTAGTTGGACAAGGATGGATTTTTTTTCCAGCAGTACACTGGTCTTAGTTTCATTAGGGTGCCCTTTTAAAAGACGCATTTTGTGCCATGGAGGGAAACAACTTTGAGGTGAGGGGAAAATATAAAATTTTAAACAAAATTCCAGTGACCATCTTCCCAAATCGTGAAGCTTTGTAGAAAACTCAAGGGAATGCTGTCCCCAATTAAATACGTGTTTTAAGGAACGCTGTGAAAACTTCAATGAGTCGAGAGGGAAGACCATCCCCCAAACAGTAGAAGATGACCACAGAATTAACATTAATAGAATAGCTACTAAAATTGGTATTTCACTGTGTTCGGCATTTTCAATTTTAAGCATCTTGGCTGCAGCAAGTTTTGATTCCATCGTTACCTAAAACATTATTCAAAGAGCTGATCTTTTCATCAATTTTTTAATGCAAAATCAAAGCTAATGAAAGTGATTTCTTGGAACCAATTGTAACTGGAGATGAATCTTGAATTCACTAATACAATTCAGAGAGTAAGTTCTGTTAAAACCGCGGCTTCTGAGATTTGTTGAACCAGTTAAGCTCAAGGCAGAGAGATCAGCTCAGAAGTTTATAAACATTGTTTTTTGGGGGGACCTCAGAGTGATAATCTTGATAGAATTTCTTGAAGGACATATGATCATGGGAGCTTAATATTAAGGAGTTTATTATTATTAATCATTCTATTGGGGGGGCACTTACACATCTTATAACAATCCAACATTTAATCGTATTAAGCACACTTGTACATATGTTTCACTCAACATTTCCAAAACATTTTCTTTCTACTTGAGCCCTTCGTATCACCTCCTCTTTTTACCTTTCCATCCCTTACTGTCCCACCCTTGTGAATCCTTGATCAATTATATATTATTATTTCATGTCTTACACTGTCTGTTGTCTCCCTTCACCCACATTTCTGTTATTCATCCCCCTGGGGGTGGGTGGACTATATATCCAACCTTGTGATGGGTTCCCCATTTCTCCCCCTCACCCTACCAACACCCTATCCTCATGATCTCACTACTCCCACTACTGTGCCTGAGGGTTTTAAGCTGTCCTGAATTCCATGTGTCAAAAGTTCTTATCTGTACTAATATGTGTACTCCGTTCTAACCGGATTTGTAAGGTAGAACTGGGTCATGGTAGTGGTGGGGGGGAAGCATTCAGAAACAACAGGAAGGATGTGTTTCATCGGTGCTATACTGTACCCTGGTTGAATCGTCCCTTCCTTGTAACCTTTCTGTGGGGGGATGTCCAATTGTCTACTGATGGACTTTGGGTATCCACTCCAATCTCTCTTTCACACTGATATAATTGTTTTCAATCTTTTGATACCTGATCCCATCGACACCTAATGATCGTACAGGCTTATGAAGGAGTTTTAAGACAACTCAAAACTGCATTGATGAGGAAAAGACTAGGAATGTTGTGCTGAGGAATTTTTTTTTTCCTCATCATAATAATGCACCTCCTCGGTGTCGAAGGGATCAGGTGTAAGGCATCATCAGAACAAAAAAAAAAACTTACCATAGTGAATGATGGGGGGAGTACGTGAGCCAGTCAGGGTGCGATGTAACAATGATGAGAAATACAACTTTCCTCTAGTTCCTAAATGTTTCCTCCCCGCTCCCACTACCATGACTCGAATTCGATCTTGCAAGTCTGGCTAGACCAGAGGACAGATAGGAACTGAAAATACAGGGAATCCAGGGTGGATGAGCCCTACAGGACCAGTGGTGTGAGTGGCGAAACAGGGAGGGTAAAGGGAGAATGGGTAGGAAAGAGGGAACCGATTATAAGGAACTGTGTGTGACCTCCTCCCTGGGGGACAGACAACTGAAAAGTCAGTGAAGGGAGACGTTGACAGGGCAAGATTTGACAAAATACCAATTTATAAACTATCAAGGGCTCATGAGGGAGGGGGGAGCGGGGAGGGTGGGGAAAAATGAGGACCTAATGTCGGGGGTTTAAGTGGAGGGAAAATGTTTTGAGAAACGAAGTACAAATGTGCTTTACACAATTGATGTGTGTATGGATTGGGATAACAGTTGTATGAGCCCCTAATAAAATGTTAAAAAACAAAACAAAACAAAACAAAAAAACAAGGAAACAACACAAAAAAAAATAATGCACCTCCTCATGCTTCAAGGGTAGCAAGGGCTATCCTACAAGAATGTCACTGGGAAACCTTACCCCAGCCTTTCTATAGTCCTGATATTGTCCCTTCAAACTTTTGTCCCCTAATCTAAAAGAACATTTAACATAACCCCCATTCAAGTCCCTTCAGGATGTTAACACTGCTATTTAGATGTGATGTAAATCAGAGTGCAGAATGCTTCCTGGAAGGGTTAGACAGATGAGAACACCACCTTCAGATGTAATAGACCTATTTGGAGGATATAGCGAGAAACAATTAGCTTCACATAATGGTATTTTTCCTTTAATAAAGGGTTGTGTGATTTTATAGCAATAATTTATGTTTGTATACCTGACTAGTTATATCTTGCTTGAAATTATTCTGATTTTCAGGGGTAAAAAGTATATGTATTTCAAAATAATATACTGTTAGGCCAATAATTAAAATCAGAAGAATCAGAAGCAACATTATTTAGAATCATCATTATAGTCCTTTTTAAAAATATGTATTACAAGTTTTCCATTCTCATTCCCACAATGGAATTCATGGATAGTCTCATCATTATATTCAAGAAAGTAAACATAGCTCACTCTATATCTAAAGAAGGTTAGTAGTTCATAATAAAGGCTTAAGGGCAAATTGCAAAGACGGCATTAAATGAGGGAAAATATTTTTCCACATCTCTCATAGGGAAAACAATTCATTCATTTTCTCTACCACACCTACTTGCTACAAATGTAAACAAAAATTAGTTGGCTTACCTGTTTCACTGCATTATCATTTCCTAATTCACAGTCTGGGCCAGAACATACATAAATGTTGGATGATAAGTCATTATAAGAGTTCCTGCTGACATCTGAAGAGTCTCTCATATTGAAGTACAGAGCCCACAGAAGTCTTGGTTTTGCAACTTCTTCATTTTCTAAATGTAAGATATAAATTTGACTCACATGCTAAAACACAACACACTTGCCCACTGTTACATAGTAAGCTACAACTTTGTATAGACATAATTAGTAAATCTGCATCCACACACTCTTACATATGGATATGCTGTGTAAATAATGTTAAAGTTTCAACTGTAGACAAATTGAATTATAACATTATTTTGATGATTTAAGATTGAATTATAAATGTGTTCCCTTGGGTTTTGATTCTTCCTCTTCTTCCGTATCAAATGTTTACAATCATGTTCATCCCTTTATTATCCCTATGAAGTGAAAATCAATGTTCTTATGTTCCAAATGGACAGACCATCTTGATAAAGTATATAGGAGTCAATAGTATATAAAGGAGTATGAAAGGTTCAGCATAGGTAAGTCTATAGAGATCGGAAATAGGACTGAGGGAAGTAGCGTGGGCGATAAGTGGGGACTACTAATGTCTACAGGGCTTCTTTTTGGAGTGACAAAACAATAAAATTGGTTGCAGTGATCATTGAACAACTCTGTGAATATATCAAAATCCAATGTATTGCACACTTCAAATGGGTCAATTGTATGGTACATGAATTAAATAAAATCAGAATTAAAACTTTGATATAATTCATATTCTACTATTGTAGCCTACTGAATTCTAACAATAATGGAAACCAACAAACAGCAAAAATAAGCTAATACAACCAAAAGTCATTTTTGAGCACATCTTCTCTCATTTAATAATGAGTATCTACTATGTGACTGACAGCTACGGAGCTGGGTGTTAGATATATAATGTAGACGTGGCTCTTACTTTTCTGTTCATTATTGTTTTAATGTTGCTGAATTGATTTCAATCTTTTTTTCAGGTACAAAGTACGATATGTTCATAAGAAAGTTCAACCTTTTCCGTCTCCATGCCTAGAGCCTATTTCTTGCTATCTCGACCTCACTTCTTTAGAAAGGTTATACATTTTCTTTGACTGAAAACAGAAAATATTACTATGACTTCTTTAGCCTGAATTTGAATGAAAATAAAATAACATCTTGAATTTTTTAATGATTCTATGAAATTTTAGTGGTTGCTTATGAAGATTATTGACGATCATAAAGGAACTTTGAATCATAAGGAAAAATGCTAAAAACATAATTATCTAGCAATTGTTGTTGTTAAATTGACAATTCATGCAAAATATTCTTAACAATTTACAGTATTTGCAGTAATTCCATTCCCTAATTCAGGATAATGAGTATTTTCTAAGTATTCAAAACATTTTTACAACAGGAATAGTTACAGTTAACACCTTCAAGATTTTTCCTTTTACATTTATTAAAGATGCTATTTTAAAAGCGTACCATGAATACTCTAAAATTATTAGTAAAATAGGATGAAGAAACTCTGAATGGAAAATGTGATGTTTTAAAGTCTTCTTGGTAATGAATGCTATGATCTATGTCTAAAGTAACATTACCTTCATGCGGGTTCACAACAGAGGGCTACACTTATGTATTTACAAAATGAAGGAGCATAAAGACTCGTATTTTATAGCTAAAACCATAAGGCTCTTAGTAAATATAATGATGAGTTTTGTCTCACTAAATCTTACAAGAGGATATTTAAATATATCACCTATTATTTGTTGGACCAGATTCCTGGAGCATTACGGAGCAATGGATGATAATCTCTGGAGACCAGTTCATTTCTAAACACATACCAAATCAAAACCAAACTCATTGTCATTGAATCAACTCGGACTCACAGTGACCCTGTGGGACAAAGTAGAACTGTCTTTACGAAAGTAAACGGTCACATCTTTCCCCCATAGGGCACTTGGTGGGTTTGATCTGCTGGCTGTTGAATTAGCAGCAATGCTCTTAACCATGGCACCACTATATACTAGAGAAGTTGATCTTGTATTTCATGAAAGTACTAGCTCAGAGGAGAGTTTTCACTCAGCAAAAGTTGGGGAGAAATGCATAATCCAATAAGAAATTACCAATAAAAATTCACAGAGGTTAGGTCTTGGGAAAAAAACCACGTGAGGAAGATGAAAATTGATATAGACTGAAGAGAAATGCTTTGGATACAAGAAAGTTATTAGGCATTGCCCTTACTACCTTCCAAGAGACATAATTGCTTTATCTTTCCTTGTGGCCAGCTGCAAGGTAGAGCAATAGCTGGAATGCAACATATAGCTGTGTAGTGTACAACTGATGAAACACACAGCTGGTAAGTTTTAATGGGAAGTACATCACCGATGCTGTATTGAAAAGCAAGGATGTTACTTTGGGGACTAAGGTATGCCTGACTCAAGCCTAGTATTTTCAGTTGTTTCACACACACGTGAAAGTTGGATATTGAGTAAGACGGACTGAAGAAGAATCGATGCATTTGAACTGTGGTGCGGGAGAAGAACACTGCAAGTATCATGGACTGCCAAGAGGACAAACAAATCTCCTTAGAAACAAGGATGGCAAGATTTCATCTTACATACTCGGGAACTGTGTTCAGGAGAGAGCAGTCTCTGGCGGTCATTCTTGGGGCAGGCTAAGAGATGAAGACCCGCAAAGAGATAGACTGACAAAGCAGTTGCAACTATGGACTCAAGCACAGGAACAGCTTTGAGGATGGCACCGAACCAGGCAGTTCTTCATTCTGTTATGCACAGGGTCACTATGGTTTGAAACCGACTTGATGGCACATAACAATAACAACAACAACAACAACATATCACAAGTAGCCAGAGATGTCACTGGTTTTCATATCACTCAATTACATAGTGTAAAGGAAGGCAATTTCGAATAAGACCTTGAATAAAATTAAATAAGTGTAAACTTAAATTGGGCGAAGTACAGACGAAAACAGACAGACAAAAATCAACAATCGTATACAAAATGAAAGGGAGAGATGAATTTTAGTTGCATGCCTTGTTAAAAGAGAGAGACAATTATTTTTAACACTGGCGAGTAGTAAGAGATGAAGAAAGTAGGTGACTGTCATAGCTTTGAGTCTGAACAAAACACATTAATTAAAAAACGATAGGGCCAGGCATTTGCCTCCTCAGCTCAACAATTAGCTAACAGCCTTACAAATCACTGACTTCAAGCTATACTTATCATGGGAGTGTCTGTTTCTAGGCAAAGCTACTTTTTGAGCTAGGAAGTGAGACGGAATAAGATAACTCAATGTGCCATGCACATTAGAGGGAAAAAGAAGGAAGGTGGCGTAGTAATAATGCCACCTTTCAAACAGATCAAGATACAATATTTCTAAAAATTCTTGCTTCGTTCTGCATTGAAAAATCTCCATTTCTTGGGTAAAATAAGAAACCACAGATAGTTCCACCAGTGAGACTGGAACGTACTGTTCACTCCACAAATTTCTCTCTCAGTGCTTTGAAGGTTTTTCTGGAGTCTGGAAGAATGAGCGAACATATGAAGTAAGCAGACACTTCACTTTCTCAGCAGACATAAGTTAATTAAGCATAAAACATCTAATTTTTTGACTCTGAAGTAGAGAAGGGTTTAGAGATCTTTGATGTTTCAAAGGAGCCTAGAAGATAGCGCTGTTGGAAATATTGTATTAGTATAACTGGTTTATAAGCTGGAGTAATTATCTCGAGAGTTCTGGCTACCATCTCAAAAGTAAATAAAAAAGAGAGGGAATACCTTCAGAACTCTACAGGAATTTCTTACACATATTGGCAAAGAAAGACGAGGCTTGAAAAGAGAATTTTTTCTTTCATAACAAATAAATTTCCTTACAGTGTGACTAGGCTGACTTTCACAAAGGCGTCTGAAGCACAGCACTAGAAAATGCAGAAAGCAAAGAAACAGAAAAAGAAAATAAACCCAACTCATGTTATTCCTTGGCATTTGGTTTAAAATAAAATAACCATAACGTTTGAAAGCATAGGCTTTCCTGGTGTTGTCAAGTGATTATAACTTAATGACCTTAAAACCCTCAATATGTGGGGGGGAAATGGCTACCGAGTAGAATGTACTGCAACGTATTAAAAGTTCACATTGCTCATAAAGTTCCTTCTTCCTCATTTAGGCAGGAAAATGAATTGAATTCCCTTCTCCAGGTGACTTTGCCTCTTTGACCTGCCATGGCCCAGTGCTCACTTTATCTGGTGATTCATTTTCAATAACTCCAACAGTATTTGTTCTGACATTTTAATTAAAATATGACCACTACCTCATCCTGATGATAAAAAGGCTTATGTGTCAGTTAAAACTAGCTTTTCAGTGCCTCGGTGCACCTGAGGACCCCTCTGAGCACATAGTTCTTACTAAAGAATTTCACTTAGGTTAGAAACAATACATCATTTCAAAATGAGATCACTTTCACCATTAAGATTAATGCTTCAAAATCTAAAATGGCTAGAGGATGCTAAGTAATGAACATGTAATTTCTTACAGCTTGACTTAAAAAAAAAGAAAATGAAAGGTAATTATAAAATTAAAAAAAATAGAAAACACAAATTTAGTGCATTATTTGGGATCACCACTACATAATAAATCTATAGCAGAAAACTGTAAACATTTTCAGTTATAAAGCAGAAATTCAAGAGCTTTATATGAAAAGTACAGATATAGTTAAAGTCAAAGGATAAAGCTACGACTCCATATTAGGCTCTTTAATATTATCATGTCCCATAAATTTGTGAACATTTCTGATGTGTATAGAGACCTTAAAGTAGCAAATAAGCAAATGTGACAAAAATAAAATTTCAAATTAAGGTGAAGTATATTTTCAGATTTGAGTACTTTATTCAGGCATTTCACACATTAATTATTTATATTGCTATTAGCTTCTAAGACTGGTTTGTTTGTTTATATAAATCCAAATGCCACGATATGTACCATTACTACAATAAGACATGAAACAATACACATTAAGAGATAAACTAAAGAGAAATAGGTGGGAGTAAATAAATGAATGAGTAAAAAGTGAGGCTATTTATGAACTAATGAAGAAAATGACCAAGATTCAAATAGACAAGCAAATCTTATCATGAAAATCACCTTGTTTCATATTCGGTAAAGTACTTAAACAAATCACTTACATAAAAAATACAATCAAACATGGGACCCTATTATATGTGAAAAAATTTTGAAAAATTCATGGTCGAAAAGCATATTTTTCAATGTGAATATGTAGCAGAGTGGCACATATAGTCTCGAAACTTAAGTACTTATCACATCACTAGCACGCTATATATTAAAAGACTAATACTTGTTAGGAAAGATTCCTGTATTTGCTAATTAATGTTTTAATCTTTCAGTATTTTTTTAAGATGTTTTTTTTCTGATAAAGCAGTATATGATCATTGTATAGCACCTAGAAAATATAAGGACAACTAAAAAATACCTATAATCCTTCCAAAATGATGAGGTTTCTTGAAGATTTGAGTCTAGGAATGTAAATATAAATATACATATAAGTGTATTTTTTGCATTTAAATTTATTATCTTTATATTTATATGTATACACATAAACAAACACATATGTATTTTCCCTTTAATAGCATTTAATGACTATTTTCCCATGTTTAGGAAAGAGATTTGCTCAATCATCTTGGCAAACCACATTGAAAACATCACATTTTAGTCCAAGTTTCAGAAACCGTATCTAATAAGATTATATAAGCTGCATTATCTTTTCCATCATGAGTCATTATTTTCCTTACCTTTCTCCATTTCAGTACACGGAACAAACAATTTCTGCACAATTGGCTCTAAATCTTCTCTTGCTGTTCTGGAAGATGTGCAAGTCAAATGAACCAAATCTGTTTAAAAACAAACAAAATATTCTGAGTTCCTATTTGTTTATTTACATTGAATGCACTGAGCTGGTTGCCATGAGTAACAGTGCGCTAAGTAACTAATGATTCCAGACTACAAGGAGTATATAGACCAGTGATAAAAAGGCATGTAAAAATAATAATAGTAACATTAGACTATAATTAAAAGATTAAGCATTAACTAAAACATATAGAAAAAGTAGCAATTGATGTTAATTTTGTAAAACTTAAACTTTTAGAGAAATTTTAAATTATGATAGTCCTAAAGAGTGTAAATAAAAGATTTCTAAAAACAAAACAAAAAAAAAGAACTTGCTTAAACAATACTGAAAATGGAGTATTTATTTACCTACAAAAGAAGAATCCATTATTGACAAGTTAAATCATCAGAGGGGTCTCTTAAAATTTTTTTGGGGGGGTACTGTTGGCATAGTTTGAATCATACACATATATAACAGCCTCCAAAATAGCACAGAATAGTCCATATTTTATTCAGGAATTACAAATTATTATTATTTTCAATTAATTCAAATTAATTACGTTTTAGTCTCATTTGTATTAACAAATTCATGGGCCCTGGATCTTTAGATTAGAGAATATCACTTATAAAATGATCCTTTATAGAAGCAAGCTATTATGGCCCAGTTTTGTTAAAACTCCCAAAGGACCACATGAAAAGGCATAAGGATAAAAGTTCTACATACTGAAAGAAAAGAAAGGATCTTTAAATAGAAATTCTTTTGGTTCTGGAAAGGAATAAAATCATCTCATAATAAAGAAGAGCCTGAGAAATTCCCTCCCCATACATTACCAACACAAACAAACAAACCAAAAACCCTAGCTCACTGCCATGGAGTCACTTCTGACTCATAGTGACTTATAGGACTGGGAAGCACAGCACCTGTGGTTTTCCAAGACTGTAACTCTTTATGGGAGTAGAAAGCCTTGCATTTCTCCAGCAGAGCATTTCGTGGTTTTTAGCTGCTGACCTCGTGGTTAGCAGCCCAACGCCTAAATACTACACCACTAGGGCTCTCCATACATTACCAGAATGAAAAAAAAAATCTTTTTAAGGCATGGGAAGATAGTTCAATTTATATCATGAAAGCCATAGTTAAAATAAGATTCTTATTACCAAAAGTCAGTCCATAGTCAACTTCTTTATCTAAATATAAGTCGAGAAACTTAATAGTTATGTAATCAGAAATCAGATGAAGTAGTATCTCCCCACTACCAGTTCAACAACAAAATAATGTTTTAGGAAGACTCCTACTTTATTACTGACCTAAAAAACAAATCAACCTTATTTAAGAATTGTTTTTCATGAACTTAACTTGATATCCATTGTAGAGCATATCTCAAAAGGTATAATACACTATTTAATAAACTTATTTCTAATGAACTTAAAAATCTCAGCTTCTATAAAACACTGGTGGGGAAAGGATCTAAACGTCATAGAACATCACCAAATAAAATAGGGTATCCAATTACAAAGATTAGAAATCTTGATATATTCCAATAAACTGTCGTGTCCTCATTCCAGTCTTACCAATGTTCTTAATCTTCCTGATATTTCCTATTTAATTAATGGAGTTGGAGGGGAAAGAGCAAATATGAAATCTTTTTGACAAAATCCTAATGGCTAAGACAAGGAAGGTCGTCCCCCCAGCAGGCAAGCAGCGCCCCCTGGTGTCTGAAGGGGACAAGGTCCCCCGGAAGGACACAATCTCAGAGCTCCAGGCCTGCCTGCAGCTAGCGCGTGAGCTGGGCGCAGGCGTCCAGGCTCTGAAGGCCACTGGGTAGCATGGGGACGCTAGCCAGTCCAACACAGCAGAGTCAGAGGGGTGCACATGGGAGTCATGCGCCCCCGAGGGTCCTGCCTACCAGCGCTTCCATGCGCTCGCCCAGCCGGGCCTCCCTGGCCTGGCCCTGCCCTGTAAGTACCAGGTGCTGGCCGAGATGTTCCGGAGCATGGGCACGGTCATGAGCATGCTGCACAAACCGCACCGAGGATGTCACCTTCACCAAGGTCAAGCAGGGCGTCCAGACCATGCTGCACAGACGCTTTGTGGAGCGCAACGTGGGCTAGATCAAAACGGTGTACCCCAGCTCGTACCACCTCCACCAGGAGGGCAACATCCCCTCCTTCAAGGACGGCATCAAGAGGACGGACTACCAGCTCAACATGGAGCCCCTGCTGGACCAAGAGCCTGTGGGGGGAGCCCCAAAGCTCTCTGCATCTTGGCTCCTGAGATGGCAGCACATCTTCAGCCAGAGCCTGGTGGCCCGCGTAAGGGAGCATCACAAGGCCTTCCTGGTCACTCTGAAGCCCCCCCCTGGAGGTGCCGGACGACCTGCTGACCCACTGGCACCCTCACTTCAATGTGGATGAGGTGCCCGACATCGAGCCAGCCGAGCTGCCCCAGCCGCCTGCCGCGGAGCAGCTGGCCACTGCTCAGGAGCTGCTGTCCGGAGCCTGGCGCCTCATGTCGCCCAGAATGGAGAGGCCCTTGAGTGACCTGGTCTTGTGCACAGCAGAGCCCAGCTCTCCTGGCTCTCCAGTCCAGCCCTGCCGCCCAACTCACCCGCTGCCCCCAGCGCACTGAAGGGGGTGTCGCAGGCCCTGCTGGATCGGATCCGCGCCAAGGAGGCACAGAAGCAGCTGGTGTAAATGACCCGGCTGCCGGAGCAGGAGCAGCGGCTGGAGAGGCTGGAGCGGCTGTCCGAGCTGGCCCGAGGGCTGCGAAGCGTCTTCCTGTCTGAGCGGAAGCCGGCGCTCCCCATGGAGGTGGCATGCACCAAGATGGTGGGCAGCTACCGCGCCCCCATGAGTGCCGGGGACATGGAACAGCATCTGCAGCTGCTGGCCGAACTGCTGCCCGACTGGCTCAGCCTGCACCGTGTCCGAAATGACACCGACGTCAAACTGGGCAAGGCTGCCGACCTGGCGGGCCTCATGGCCCGGCTGACCGGCCTGGCCCACACCAAGCAGGGGCTGTGAGCAGTGCCCATGCCTGGCCTGGCCCAACTGAGTTTCCATTCAGCACTTGGCTCCCCTCCCTCCACCCTCCCCCTCCCCGACCCCCAGGCTCTCCTCCTCCTCATCTGCCTCGGGGTTTGTGTGTAGTTTAAATTACGCTGGTTTCCATCAGCAAAATATATACACACACACACACACACACAAATGTATATACAAGTATACATATATTTCTTCTTTTTCTTAACAACTTAACAGCATTTATTTTAGAGGATGCTAGTAAAAATCTCTATAAAACCCCAACCAAACTCACTGCCAAAGTCAGTTCTCACTCATCGAGATCCTATAGGGCAGACTAGAATGGTCCCTGTGGGTTTCCAAGACTGTACCTCTTTACAGGAGTAGAAACAACAATCTCCATGGTGAATTAAAATTAATCATATTTTATTTAATGATGTTTACAACTCATTGTAAAAAAACAAATTCTGCTAAGAGCTCAAATGCAGCCCAGAGATTAATGGTTGAAAGTCACCCAGAGACAGAATTCGTGATCTGCTTCTGCAAGGTCACACCTTTGAAAGATTGATGGAGCAATTATAACCTGCACACACGGGCTTATCATGAGTCAGAATTGATGCAACAGCAATTAACATCAACAAGACTTTGATTCTGCTTAGATATTACCTAATGATTGTAGTATGTACACATTTAAGGTATTAACTATTTTCCCCCTACATTTCCTGTTACTTTGGTCATTTAATTGATTTGGGTTACTTTTAATTTATCTTCTTCCTCTGCAAATCATAATGATTGTCAATTGTGTTTATTTTATTCATAGTTTCAAAATCTCTTGTAAGAACTTGGCAGGGGGACAAACTTTAAAGTGAATATTCTTTTTTTATGTCTGTCAAATACAATGTATACTTGTAATAGTAGCAGGGGTTCAATAATTATTTCTTACTAATAATAATTTGCTTTCCCATTATGGGCAAACATTAGCTACTTACCTTTCACTGTTTGTATATGCATACACACGTATACAACTGCATGGAGAAACTGAACTAGTTTCTTTTATGAATATCAGGATAGATGTAAGGAAAGTACTAGTAGATAATCCTTAAATTATTTACATCTATCAGAGAAATGCTCACACTCAGTTAAATATACCTGCATAATGCCCATAAAAAGTTTAAGAGAGTCTCCGAACATACTGTACAGCTAATATGTATCAGAAACCATTTTAAGCATTTTACAAGTATTATTTCATTTCACCTGTGCAAGAGTCAGGAGAAGTAGTTACTACTAACATCCTAAATTTACAAATACAAAACTGAAGCAGTGAGTTTAAATAGCTTTTTCTAAGTTATCCGGAGATTGGATTTACTTGGAATTAACACCCAGGAAGTTTTTCTCTAGAGTGACTGCTCATAATTACTAAATGTTATTGTGTAACTTTAATAATGTCCTCTAAAAGTTATATCCCATCCCTTAAGGCAAGAGCCTTCAAATTGGGACATCCACAAGTGTATTACAAATATTACTACTAAAAAGGAATCATTTTTCAGTCATTTCTTCTATCAGCAATAAATTCTATTAAATTTTATTTTTGATGTTTAATAATTGTCAGAATTTGTAACAGATTTGTAATATTTTGATCTTCAAAAATTAAATATTCAATACATAAGTTTATATTTTTAATACTTAAACATTTATTATATCAGTAAATTAACTAGCTTTTTATATGTATATCAGGATATCAAGGTTGAGGATTTAGAAGTCAGTGGATTTTGGTTCAAATCTCTCTGCTTTTGAGGCTGCCCCAAAACTAGTAACTTAACACTACCAAATACTTGCTATTTTCATACTTTGCTTTTTGTGACATATCTCAGTCCTAAAGAAATAATTTTTGCCATAGTTAAACGAGCATGATTAAAACTTTTTTCTTGTGTTTAACCCTCATTGCTTTCTTATACAGTGTTCATTTACTTAAGTGAATATCCCATGTGTT